TGTGGTCCAGCATGTGCTGAGAAGGGTTATGTGGGATTTAAAAAGGAAGAGAATGTCGACCATGAGCCAACTGAGGGCGCAGCTGACACCCTGATCACTCAACAGACCCACAGAAATGGTTTAATAAACACTACACACACTCTTAAAGATTAAGCCTTATTTTTCACAGTGATGTCAATGAAGAAACATTTTGGGCTCTCAAGAGAACCTTTCAGTGAACTGTTCTTAAAAGAACCATTTTAATGATCTTAGGGATTCTTTTCCATTATAAAAAACCTTTTGTGCAATGGAAAGTTCCATGGATGGAACCATCGGAACCATCAGTGCCAAAAAAAGAACCTTGATTTTTAAGAGTGTAGACTAATATTTTGAAGATAAAGGCTTTAGAAGGGGGTTTTCACAGTGATACCATAGAACACTCTTAAAAGATAACAATGGTTCCATGAAGAAACTTTAACATCTATAAAATCTTTCCATTGGACAAATGATTCTTTATAGTGGAAGAAGGGTCTTTTGATTAATAAAATGTTCTTCACACTAGGAAAATAATAGTTCTTTTAAGAACTGTTCACTGAAAGGTTCTTTGAGGAACCAAAAATTGCGAGAAAAAAAAAACTACTTTTTGAACCTCTATGGGTTCTTCAAAGAACCTTCAGTGAACACATCTTAAAAGAGACATTTTTTCTTCACGTGTAGAACATTTTAATAATATAAAGAGCCTTTTTTTTCATCACAAAGAACCTTTAGTGCAATGTAAGGCTCCATGGATTTTAAAGGTTCTTTGTGGAACCATTGATGTCGATAAAGAACCTTTATTTGTAAGAGTGCGCACTGATATACTTGAGTTAGTTCACAGTGGCCCATGCGTCTTCACTTCTGCACAGCATCACACCGACAGCACCTCCCACACAAACAGACACATCTCACACTAACTTATTCACGCAAGCAAATATGTTCCGCGCATCGGCCTCCATCCATTGCCCTGACATAACCTGACAGCGAGGAAGATGAAAATTTCATTCATCTTTTCTTCTCGTCACTCTCTACAAGAACACACCTAGACACTCGCACAGCCCTCTTCACACACTTGCATGCAGACATTCATCAAAGCATCAAAGGAGCTTTGTGGGATGCACAGCAGGAGTAGGCCCACACAAAAGGCGCAGGTACAAGAGAGCAAGATTGTGTGTGTTTGATAGGAGAGCTTCGGGTGACAGGCGGAGAGTTGAGAGGTGGGGAAGTGTTGCATATACTCAGGTAGGCGAGACGATGCTGTCACTTACGCTTTTGGTGTGCGGTGTGTGTGAGAATACGTGGAGTCTGTATGTGGCGGCTTCACTTCCTGTTTTTTGTCTTTTTTGGGAGACAGACTAATGGGATATATGCCAGCAATGTTTGTGAAATGGGAGTTTAAGCTTTCAGAATTCAAATGTTTTTGTATTCTTAAATCCTTTTTGTCCTACAGTCAACATGAAATTTTCATTTACTTTCTTAATAAATGTCCCTGATCTTCTTCAGGATGATTCATCAGTGTTCATTCATTTTATTTTGCCCCTGAAACAACTCTTTTTTTTTTGAGCAAATAGCATTATTAAAATCAACACCCTCTTCACCCTCAATTCACTCAAATCCAGCTGAAGAAATTTCAGGTCCATCTTACATTATTAAATTTTTTCTCACTGAATATAGATCACAAAAAAAAGGGTTCCAAGCAAAATCCCATTCATGTTCTTGAATTAATAACAAATAAACCTAATTTATGTTTCAATTTTATATTTTAAATAATGTTATTTTTAATTTTTTTATTTTTTTAACTATCTTTTGCTCACCAAGGCTGCATTTATTTGATACAAACAATTATTATACATTGTGAAATATTATTTCAATTTAAACTCATTGTTTTCTATTTGAATACATGTTCAAATGTAATTTATTCTTCTGATGCAAAGCAGAATTTTCAGTATCATTACTCCACTCTTCAGTGTCACATGATCCTTCAGAAATCATTCTAAT